ATACACATTTCTTGAGAATTTTGCTTTAGATTTACCAAAAACAAAACATATAATATGATGTCAAACATAATCACTTTCAATTGAATCCAATTAGGCAAGCCCTTGTGCTACATAGTTGAAAGTAAATCTAAAGGAAATTGGGAAGAAATTGGACAGAAAATTGTATAGTGTATGGCCTACATTTAGGTTGCTGTCTTCTGAGCAATTCTTAATCTAAGATTTAAGTGCCACACTGGGAGTTAGGCTGGCCATACACTATACAATTTTCTGCCCAATTTCTGCCCAATTTCCTTTAGATTTACCTTCAACCATGTAGTGCACAGACCTGCCTTATTGGATACAATTGAATGTGTTGTTTAGGTTTAACCCCCTATTTATATAGTTTTTGGCAAATCTAAAGCAAAATTCTCAAGAAAATTGTATAATGTATGGCCAGCCTAAGTCATCCAGATACATTTATTAAAGTCCATATCACTGAGTCAGTGGGAGAGATTTACTATAATTGGAGAGTGCAAAATCTGGTGCAGCTCTGCAAAGAAACCAAACAGATTCCAGGTTTTATTGTTAAAATTTAACTGAACAAGCTGAAGTAGAAGCTGATTGGCTACCATGCACAGCTGCACCAGATTTTGCACTCTCCAGTCTTCATAAATCAACCCCAAGGTGTTCCTTTAATGCAGGCCATAGACGGGGAGAAAACCGGTGTTTTTTTTTTTTTAGAAAAACGAAAAATCAGTCGTTCAATCAGCCGACGTTACCACCATTGGTAAAAAAAAGTCGGCTGATTTTCATCCCGTCTATGGCCGGCAAATATAATAGGGGTGTCCCTGCAGAGAGCTCCACTATTATATTTGACAAAAGAAATAGAATATGAAGAAGAAGAAGAAAAAGTTGCAACATTGTATCTATTTGTATCCATTTTGGATACAGATGTTTCTGATTGGATACAAATAAATACAATGTTGCTATACTTTTACATGTCAAATATAATATCGGACTGAAATCCTTTTTTTCTCTTCTTCATATTCTATTTCTATTTTTCTTCTTCTTAATTCTATTTCTTCTTCTTTTCTTCTTCTTCTTTATATTCTATTTCTTCTTTTTCTTCTTTTCCTTTTTCTTGCTGGTCACTGCTCATGCGCATTTTTTAAAATCGGTAAAAAGATCGGCTGATTTGTCCATCATTGCCACGAAAATCAGCCGAACGACAAAATTGGCCGATTTTTTTTCTAACATGACCGACAAAAAAAAAAGTGTCAAAATCACGAAAAACAGCCGACCAATTACCCCACTAACGATCCGAAAATTGGCCGATTTTTTTTTTTTCAGAGAAAACATCGGCCGGTTTTCTCCCCATCTATGACCTGCATAAGGCTGCCTATAACTGTGATTAAACAACACCTGAAATAACTATATGTGTAAAAATGTTGCCAGCTAATGACCATATGTGAACAAACTATAAACATTCTGCGCTGGTTCAAATGAATCACAGGCTGCCAACACTGAATTCCGGTACAAAGAATTTAAAACATACATATAAAAGTGTAGCGCTAAAAGATAAAACAGAAATAATGCAATCCTAGCTGTCAGTCCGTAAAGCTAGATATGAAAATGTTCCAATGCAATATTTAAATCATAAAAATAATATGCAAAATGATAAATACGAAGTGAGTCCCAATTCCAAAAATTAAGTATATCAAAAGTGCAAACGTGAATCCTCAATTTCTAGATGACCAAATGTTATCCGTGCAAACACGTGTCACCCCACTCCCTGCTCAAAGAAGGCTTACCAGATGTGTATTTGACCATCAAGGATCGGGGACATCCTTTCCCTCTTGTATTGAACTGTATTGTTGCTGTATTGTCTCCCTTTATATTGTAAAGTGCTGAGTAAACTGTTGGTGCTATATAAATCCTGTATAATAATAATCATATTATAGAGTGGTCAAAATCAGCTCAAGAATGATAATTAAGTAGTCGCTCGAGCCTCCTCCATAATATCCAAAAGTGGCTCAAATATCGTTCGCCCCACAGGTGAGGACGGTGTCTGGTCTATGTGTGATGGTGGGGGCAGGTGAGGGGTGGATGGAGGAATCATGGATGGATGGTCCACCATCCTCTATCTGTATAGCCTTCTTTGAGCAGGAAGTGGGGTGACATGCGTTTGCACGGATAACGTTTTGTCATCTAGCAAGTGAAGATTCACATTTGCACTTTTGATATACACTTAATTTTTGGAATTGGGACTCACTTCTAATTTATCAATTTGAATATTATTTTTATGATTTAAATATTGCATTTGACCATTTTCTTATCTAGCTTTACGGACTGACAGCTAGGTTTTTCATTATTACGGTTTTATCTTTTAGCGCTAGACTTTTATATGTATAGTTAATGATTTATAACTTTGGGGAACCGGGAATAGATCATTGGTCCAATGTAAGTAGGCATATCTCATACCTGATGGGCCACTGGGGAAGCTGACAATCACTGTAGTAGTTGGCTCAGGGGCCGCTTGCTTGGCCCTGCCGCCAGTAAGTCATAGAAACCCTTGTATTTTGTTCAATAAATACAAGGCATTCTGTGATTGGACAAGGTAAGGCAGTGACATCACAATCTCCACCTCCTCAAATAAGAGATTGCCTGGTATTCAGTAAAAAAATATGTAAAAAAAAAAAAGACATACTATTAATGGTAGCAGTGCCAAGAAGGGAAACCAATCACACAGAACCCAACCAGGACCCAGAAGATCATGGCTATCAGTGTTATAGCGGTGACTACTACAGTAATATGCAGCTTCCCCAGAGGACCATCAGGTATGGCGCACACAGGGGCGGACTGACAACTCATGGGGCCCCCGGGCAATAGGGGATCATGGGGGCCCTGTGTCCTTGCCCAAACTCAAAAAATCCTATGAAAAAGGTACCAGGGGCATCTCATGGGGCCCCCTGCTGACCCCCGGGCCTTCGGGCAGTGCCCGAGTTTCCAAATGGTCAGTCCGCCCCTGGGTGCATACACATACTTACATCGTGCCAAGCTGGACTAATATAAGTATGCAGTACAAATAATTCCTGGAGTACAGATTTAAATTGGCTGATCTTCCCTATGACTCAGAACCACATGACCACATACAGTTGTGACCAAAATTATTCAACCCCCACTGAAATTGAGTGTTTTGGCCAGTTTGACATTGCTTTTGATCATTCAGTCATCTTGCTTACATTTACATTAAAGAGGCACTTGTAGGTCAGACAAATATAACATAACAGTTATAATGAAATAACCACAAATGTCTTTTCTGTGCTCACAGCATTATCAGTTTTATTAGTACTAAGTACTAAATCTTAGTACTTAGTACAGCATCCTTTTTACAGTTATAACAGCTTTTAAACGTGAAGCATAGCTTGACACAAGTGTCTTGCAGCGATCTACGGGTATCTTCGCCCATTCTTCATGGGCAAAGGCCTCCAGTTCAGTCACATTCTTAGGCTTGCGCACTGCAACTGCTTTCTTTAAGTCCCACCAGAGGTTCTCAATCGGATTTAAGTCTGGTGACTGCGATGGCCACTCCAAAATGTTCCAGCCTTTCCTCTGCAACCATGCTCTAGTGGACTTGGAGGTATGCTTGGGATCATTGTCCTGTTGAAAGGTCCAACGTCTCCCAAGCCTCAGGTTGTGTGACGGACTGCATCACGTTTCCATCCAATATCTCCTGGTACTGAAGAGAATTCATGGTACCTTGCACACGCTGAAGCTTCCCTGTACCTGCAGAAGCAAAACAGCCCCAAAGCATGATTGACCCTCCACCATGCTTCACAGTAGGCAAGGTGTTCTTTTCATCATAGGCCTTGTTCTTCCTCCTCCAAACATAGCGTTGATCCATGGGCCCAAACAGTTCTAATTTTGTTTCATCAGTCCACAGAACACTATCCCACAACTTTTGTGGTTTGTCCACATGGCTTTTGGCATACTGCAGTCGACTCTTCTTATTCTTTGGAGACAGCAAGGGGGTACGCCTGGGAGTTCTGGCACGGAGGCCTTCATTACGCAGTGTGCGTCTTATTGTCTGGGCTGAAACTTCTGTACCCACATCTGACAAATCTTTTCTCAGTTCCTCAGCAGTCACACGGGGACTTCTCTCCACTCTACGCTTCAGGTAGCGCACAGCAGTCGAAGTCAGCATCTTCTTTCTGCCACGACCAGGTAGCGTTTCAACAGTGCCCTTTGCCTTGAATTTTGCGAATGATGCTTCCTAAGGTGTCTCTTGGTATGTTTAACATCTTTGCAATCTTCTTATAGCCATTGCCCTTCCTGTGAAGAGAAATCACCTCTTCTCTTGTCTTCCTGGACCATTCTCTTGCCTTCACCATGTTTGTAACCACACCAGTAAATGTCTAGAAGGAGCTGAGTATCACAGTCATTTTAAAGCTGCCTAATTGGTGCTTATTATGCTTGATTGCTGCTCGGTGACATCCACAGGTGTTTTCAATACCTGATGGAAAGCACCTGTATGAACCTCTGTTCTTCAGAGTGGTAGTCTTTAAGGGGTTGAATAATTGTGGCAATGAAGAAACCACATAAGAACCATTTACTACTGTATTACATAAACAATTGATGTCATTTTAGTTGCATTTGGGTAGTTACAACGTCCTTGTAGGATTTGATTCTGAATACAATTCCAAATGTACACTATAGTCCCTAAACCCCTTTACAGCATTGGGGGTTGAATAATTTTGGTCACAACTGTAGCTAGGCATTTTGTCCCAAGGCCCCAAAGGATGCCAGAACATGAGTTTCTCCATGACAAGTAAGCAGTTCAGAGACTCATTTATCATCTTTTTCTTGACGGAAGTAAGCTGGGCATGAGGCAGGGGCATTCGTTCACTTTAAGGTCACTTTTACTGTTAATCAATATAACAAGTCATTTTAATTTTAATTAGACCAGAGCTCTCAAGACCTTTGTTGGTAATCACAGAATTTTCCTTTCTTTTGTTATATCCAGTAAATATAACACAATCACATCTGAGGATCAGAAGAAACTGTACGAGGAAGATTTTGCTTCTGATTATTCAGTATATCTTGAGCTCCACTCCAAGATTGGGAAGGTGCTGGAGAGATTCATGCAGCTCGGATCCAGAATGAAGAAGTATCAGCCAGGAACAGTAGAGCACAAGGTAGGCAATGCAGAATTTCTGTGCATGCAATGCAGACTATTTCTAAGTACACTTTTGAAGCCAAGGATAAGTACATATTAGGAATTCATGCTCCTTATTTCATTATGAGCTTGTATTGGGTTTTGAGATTACGATTTACCTGCCAGAAGCAAGGGAAACGTCAGTTATTGCACCTTCCCGCAGTGCAGCTTTCATAATACAGCAGCACTTCTTTAAAGTGTATGTGTAGTCAAAGCTCTTCTTTTTGGTTTTGAATAAAATATGGAAGGTTTAAAACTACAGGCAGTTTATTGTTTGCCTCTTGTTGTGAAATTGTTGGGAAATTTCCTTTCACTTCTTATCCAGGAGATGCAACAGGAAGTGTAAACAAATGAGAGGGATTCTCCACTTAGTTGTCCCCATTGCAAGATTTACCCTCACCTCTTCAGCTGGTGACAATGCTAAAATTTTGAAATTTCCATCTTCATCCTTTTGTCTCTGTGACTTTGACCAACAGGAAATCTAGAGAGTTTGAATCTACCCAAGGGGACATAGACAGCAGAAAAACTTGAGGGTCTCATCCCCAATCCCTAATTTCTTCAAATGTTAAAAAAATTAAGATTTTGGCTATAGATGCACTTTAACCCTTATTTCATAATGTAAAAAATAGCTATAAAACATATTTTATGTTTAAATTATAACATTATTTTTAAAATAAGGATTTTGATGATTATTGGCTTGGTATCAAAGGCAGTGCACCCCCCCCCCTTTTCTTCATTCCACATTCTTACTGTATTTATATTTCAATATTTTTATTGAGAAACAGGCATACAATAGCATAAAACGAGATGGCAAAAAAGTCCACCTACATGGTGGAATGATATATAGAATCACAATCATAGCACTGATAGGCACGCAAAAAGAATTGACTAACAATGGCAATAGGAATACATACAGAGAGTGCCATTACCATCAAGACGTACAAGTTTCACCAATCAATAGACAGAGACTGAACCGTAGAATTAAACCCCTTTGATAACGTGCAGTTGCCACGAAACGCGTTAGAGAGATGCTACTTGACCCACAACCACTACCCACATGGTCCACACCTTGACACGGGCGGCCATCTTTGGAAGTGTATATTGCACCATCCCTGAAGGTGATTCCTGGTCCTTGAGCGCAAATCGCACCCCTGGAGGTCGCTGACACAAGGATTCTACTGCATACCGGGATGAGCGTTTATTCCACTGGATACCTGGGAATTCCATAACTGGAGAGGACATGGATGACTCTGGTGACCACAGTAGAGACGACCACCATTCCGGCAGGTCCCCTGATCCAGTGACCAGGAGTAGGTCATTTTACTCCAATGCGCTTTTATTTGCGCTATCTGGTTAGTGCATTCTACAGCACATTTCCTACCACAGATGTCACAGATTTACGTCACTCCTATGATAGATTGACTTTGACACCTTTATCACCATTTACACCTTCTTAACTATGAGAATGTTATAATATTGGTTGCTTAAGACTATTATGGTAGCTGCGTTTATATCTCATTAAGTGGTCACTCCGTATCATGAGATAGATCCATTCACTCTAGCGCTGCATGTTTTTGTATATGATTGTAGAATTAAACCAAATGTAACGAAAACAATTCAGTGGAGAAAGTAGAAAAAGAGAGAAGAAAGAAAAGAAAGAGGAAAACAACCCCTAAGGGAAAGGAGAAAAAAAAGGGGGGGGGGGGGTCAGCTGTAAAACTCTCATGATGCAGAAATGTAACTAATCCAAGGCTCCCAAGTCCCCTCAAATCTGGACACATCGTCATTGACAATACTTGTAAGTTTATCGTTTACCATTATCCAATGAAGTTTATGTTTCACCCTGTCTAACGGGATCACAGATTGTTTCCAACTTCTAGCTATGGTAATGTGAGCCGCCAGTAAGAGGTATAAAATTACCGTATTTTTCGGACTATAAGGCGCACATAAAATCCCTATATTTGTGCAAAAATCGGCAATGCGCCTTATATTCCGATGCGCCTTATGTATGAACAGTGTATGTTCACACTGTGCTGAACAATCTGTCAAAATGTTTTATTATGACTTTGGTAAGCGACGAAGCCACTCCCCTTGCTTATTCGAGCTTATCCTGGCGACGATAAACGACGATAAACCAATCAGAGCCAAGCAATCAACAACAAATCAAAGCTTTTTCACTTACCGAAAACTACATTTCCTGATACTGTGCTTCCAAATTAAGGACCCCAAAATGGCACCTGTTAAGAGACCTGTTAAGAGACATGCTTACGACGCGGATTTCAAACTCAAGGCCATCAGCCAAGCAGTACAACATGGGAATAGAGCAGCAGCGAAAAAAAATTCAACATTAATGAATCAATGGTACGGAAGTGGAGGAAACAAGAAGATGACCTGCGTCAAGTAAAGAAGACGAAGAAGAGTTTCCGAGGGAACAAGGCAAGATGGCCACAATTAGAGGACAAAATTGAGCAGTGGATTATTGAACAGAGAACAGCAGGTAGAAGCGTCTCTACAGTCTCCATTCGACTTAAGGCAACAGCGATGGCACGAGATATGAAGATCAACGAATTTCAAGGAGGTCCTTCTTGGTGCTTCCGTTTTATGAAAAGGCGTCATCTCTCCATCCGCACAAGAACTACCACTTCGCAGCAACTGCCAAAGGATTATGAAGAAAGGATGGCCATCTTCCGCACTTACTGCAAGGACAAGATCATCGAAAAGAAGATCCAGTCAGACCACATCACAAACATGGACGAGATCCCTCTCACCTTTGACATCCCCGCGAACCGTACTGTAGAAAAAAACAGGGACGTCTACTGTATCTATACGCACCACAGGGAATGAGAAATCATCCTTCACTGTAGTTCTCGGTTGCCAGGCTAATGGCCAGAAACTACCACCCATGGTCATTTTTAAGAGGAAGACTTTGCCAAAGGAAACATTTCCTCTTGGGATCATCGTCAAGGTCAATCCAAAAGGCTGGATGGACGAGGAGAAAATGAGTGAGTGGCTGAGAGAAGTTTACGTCAGGAGACCAGATGGCTTCTTCCACAAGTCTCCGGCCTTATTGATCTACGACTCTATGTGCGCTCATCTCACTGACATTGTCAAAAGCCAAGTGAAGAAAACCAATTCGGAGCTTGCCATCATTCCTGGAGGATTGACCAAAGAACTCCAACCACTAGATATTGGTGTCAACAGGGCGTTCAAGGCTAAATTGCGAGCCGCATGGGAGCAATGGATGACAGAAGGTGAGCACACATTTACCAACACAGGCAGGCAACGCCGGGCTAGTTATGCCACTATCTGCCAATGGATCGTCGATGCCTGGGCTAAGGTATCGGTTTCAACTGTCGTCCGAGCTTTCACGAAGGCCGGAATCATCAATGAACAGCCAAGCAACAGCAATGAGACTGAATCGGATGATGACGAGAGGGATCCGGGCTTGCTTGATGCCGCTATCGCCCAACTGTTAAATTCCGACACCGAAGACGAGGAATTTGATGGATTCGTAGAATATGAATGATTGAAAAAGTGAGCATACTCTTGTGTAATATCTGACCTATCCGGCTATTTTGTTTCGCTTTAATATTGTGTAATATTGTGGTCTGACTGGATCTATTGTGTAATATTGACAGTTATTGTTAATGATTTGAATAAAGTCTGACTTATCCGACTACCGGTATTTTGTTTCGCTTTATGCGCCTTATAATCCGGTGCGTCTTATATATGAAAATAGATCCGTTCACTAATACTGCGTCTTATAATTCGGTGCGCCTTATAGTCCGAAAAATACGGTAGTTTAGTTGATTTTTTGGGAACGTCAGCGGGTAGTATATGAAACAAGGCCTCTTCCGGTGATCTACGGATATTAACTCCTTTTACCGAATATTTCAAATTAAACATGCGGATCCAGAATCTACTCACAACTGGACATTTCCACCAAACGTGGAACATAGTACCTTCTTGACCACAGCGTCGGAAACAGCTAGCTGATACTGAAGGGTACATTTTGGCTAGGCGAGTAGGAAACCAAATACCAGCAAAGTAGCGTTTTATAATTGGATTCAATAAGATCAGTATTAATCGAGATCTTTGATCAAGTATGAGCCGAATTCCGCCATGTATCTAAATCTAAAATCTAATGAACTATTTAAACTCCCCTCCCATTGGGTCATGTAGGATAATTTAGTAAGGAGATCAACAATGGAAGCATAAATAATGGATGAACGACCGCGCATCTTCACACCTGCCCCACAGGAGACCTCGAGGGAAGTAAGCGCACAAGGTTCTGAGAGTAATCTAAGTTTGCTAGCAATAAAAGAGCAAAGTTGGTGATAACGAAATATTTATCTGGAGGCATCTGATATTTTGTCAAAAAATGTTGAAGAGACCGAGGACTAAACCCATCTAAATAGTCTCCGATACGTAACAGACCCTTATTAATCCACCACTGGAACACCGATGGAGATAGACCCGGGGCAAACTCAGGATTACCAAACACTGGGGCTAGCGGGGTGGAGAGGAGAAAGGTTTGCGAGCTCGCCATCTCTCCCATTCTGACTGTATTTAAATACATATTTATGTCAGGGTATACAATACGGTAGAGCAACCCCCAAGCCCACCACCACATTAAAAAAAATTGTTTGTAACCAGTAATATAGATTGCCTCTCTGTGGGGTTCCTATTTCCACCTAGGTATGGAAAATAAAGCTAAAGAATTGCTAAAAAAATTAAAGCTTTTTAAGTGTATTTAATCAGTTCTTAAATTTGGTCTTTTAGATGGTGGAAAACAAGATTCTGAATGAATACAAGAAGTTTAAAAAGGTAAGAAAACCGTGGACAGGTTATTTGGTTTTTTATCAGATTATTATTATACAGGATTTATATAGCGCCAACAGTTTGTTCAGCGCTTTACAATATAAAGGGAGACAATACAGCAACAATACAGTTCAATACAAGAGGGATAGGAGGGCCCTGTTCCTTGGAGCTTACAATCTATGAGGGAGGGGCTAGTGGTACAAAAGGTAATAACAGTGGGGGATGGACTGGTAGGAGGAATAGACGATTCTGTTATTAGCTGAGGGCAGGATAGGCTTCCCTGAAGAGATAGGTTTTCAGAGATCACCTAAAAGTGGGCAAGTAGGCAATAGTCGGATAGATTGGGGTAGAGAGTTCCAGAGGATGGGGGAGGCCCTGGAGAAGTCCTGGAAATGAGCTTGGGAGGAGGAGACAAGGGAGCTATAGAGCAGGAGGTCGTGCGAGGAGCGGAGAGGATGGTTTGGGTGATATTTGGAAACAAGATGAAAAGAATTAACCATAATAAGATATCGGGGTCGTTATAATATTACAGGATATCCAGGCTGTTTGGAGACCTTAGAACAGCCTTCCTCAAGTAGGGCTCCTCCAGAGATTTAACACAACAAACACTTTTCTCCTGCGCTAGGAAAGGACTCAGTAGACCCAATAGGAATGTTCTGGAATTTTCTGGAATATGCACTGCTTGCTGCCCTCAACAGACCGGGGGTGGTCCAAATACACTGGATGCAAATGGAGAAACAGAGAAAGGGCGCACCGACCTAGTGCATTATCGTTTAAAATATTAATTGAAGAAACAAAGTTAGTATCATACTCACAATAAACATAAAAACACAGTCATGTCAGACTGAACAAGATGCATGATCCAAACAACATCTGAGTCCATACGATGGAACCCTGGATGTCCAACTTCTAACGCGTTTCCTCAGTGCTCTGAGGAAGAGATTGTGTCCTCGAAACGCGTTAGGCCGTTGGACATCCAGGGTTCCATCGTATGGACTCAGATGTTGTTTGGATGATACATCTTGTTCAGTCTGACATGCCTGTGTTTTTATGTCTATTGTGAGTATGATACTTACTTTGTTTCTTCAATAAATATTTTAAACGATAATGCACTAGGTCGGTGTGACCTTTCTCTGTTTTTCCTCCAGAGATTTCTAGGGGTTCCTCGAGTAATGGGAAGTTTTTGCCTTTGAGATAAGTGACCACTGACACCATTGATCTTTTTAGCTATCTATGATGGGAGGCATTCTTCATGCTGACCCCAAATATGAGAGCATTCTTCCTGTTGACAATCACACAAATGTACCAAGAGCTGTAGATATAGTCATTATTAGCAGGGGTTGCCAACGACCATAAAGTTATTTCATGGGTTCCTCGATGTTAAAAATGTTTTTTAAAGGCTACTTTAGAGGGTGGGCAGATGTTTAAGCTTGGTCCAGCCACCCTCAGGCATTAGAATGGTTTAGAGCAGGGGTGTCCAACCTTTTTGACTTTCCAGGACCACATTGGAAGAAGTGTCTAGGTCAGCCTTTCTCAACCAGGGTGCCTTGAGGTTTCTTCAGGGGTGCCTTGGCAAAATGTCTAAAAATTTCTCAAAAAGTGTATACAAGCCAACGGGTAGAACAAGCCTGCCTTTTAGTTACACAAAGCCACAGGTTTTCATTGTGCACCATTACGACCTTCTAGCCACCGGCGTCCTGACAACCTATGACATCATCCGTTGATAAGGAGAATGTCAGCTACCTGCACAGCATCCTAGTTTGACCCTCCCCCTGCCCCCTCTCCATCAGTGCTGGGGTCACATTAGCTCAGTGATGGAGAAAAACTGAGGGAGAAGAGAAACATTGGAACACTAGTCAGTACCAGTACCAAGAATAAATCACCTTAATGTTGGGTGTCCTTCATGTGTGGATGTTGCTGCGTTATATAAAACTATTGGAATAGTTTTTTCACATTTTAGAATGGGGTGCCTTGGGACTATCCAGAATTTTACGGGGTGCTTGGGACTGTCCAAAATTTTACAGGGTGCCTCGGGGCTGTCCAAAATTTTACAGGGTGCCTCGGGGCTGTCCAAAATTTTACAGGGTGCCTATGGGGCTGTCCAAAATTTTACAGGGTGCCTATGGACTGTCCAAAATTTTTATGGGGTGCCTGGGACTGTCCAAAATTTTACAGGGTGCCTTGGGACTGTCCAAAATTTTACAGGGTGCCTCGGGACTGTCCAAAATTTTACAGGGTGCCTATGGACTGTCCAAAATTTTAAAGGTGCCTCGGGACTGTCCAAAATTTTACAGGGTGCCTGGGACTGTCTAAAATTTTGGGTGCCCAAGGACCCTGTCCAAAATTTTGGACAGTGCCAAAGGCACCCTGTAAAATTTTGAAGGGTGCCTCAGGACTGTCCAAAATTTTAAAGGGTGCCTCGGGGACTGTCCAAAATTTTACAGGGTGCCTCGTAACTGTCCAAAATTTTACAGGGTGCCTCAGTACTGTCCAAAATTTTACAGGGGTGCCTCGGGACTGTCCAAAATTTTAAAGGGTGCCTCGGGGCTGTCCAAAATTATACAGGGTGCCTATGGACTGTCCAAAATTTTAAAAGGTGCCTCGGGACTGTCCAAAATTTTATGGGGTGCCTTGGGACTTTCCAAAATTTTACAGGGTGCCTCGGGACTGTGCAAAATTTTACAGGGTGCCTATGGGACTGTCCAAAATTTTAAAAGGTGCCTCGGGACTGTCCAAAATTTTACAGGGACTGCCAAAATTTTACAGGGGGACTGACTGTCCAAAATTTTAAAGGGTGCCTCAGGACTGTCCAAAATTTTAAAGGGTGCCTCAGGACTGTCCAAAATTTTACAGGGTGCCTCGTAACTGTCCAAACTTTTACAGGGTGCCTCAGTACTGTCCAAAATTTTACAGGGTGCCTCGGGACTGTTCAAAATTTTAAAGGGTGCCTCAGGACTGTCCAAAATTTTACAGGGTGCCTCGTAACTGTCCAAAATTTTACAGGGTGCCTCGGGGACCGTCCAAAATTTTACAGGGTGTCTCGGGACTGTCCAAAATTTTAAAGGGTGCCTTAGGACTGTCCAAAATTTTAAAGGGTGCCTTAGGACTGTCCAAAATTTTACAGGGTGCTTTCACTGAAAAATATTGAGAAACACTGGTCTAGGGCCGCACATCAAATACACTAACAATAAGGATAGCTGTGAGCAGAATATGTTGGGCAGATCACAAGTTAACGATCACTGATATAAATTAAATCAATGTGCCTATCGCTATTTTATCCTTACGATGCATTTCTTCATAGTCCTCATATTTGTTGGCATGTTTTTGCATATAATGCCTTTTCAAATTGTAGTCTTTGAAAACTACTACAAATTCCCTACAAATTAAGCAGAGTGCCTTAGCATTTGCCTCGACAAAGTGATTATCTGTCCCATTTGCCTTGAACAATCTTCCTTCATGATGAGCTTAAATGTCACACTGTTCTCTCATTTTTGGTATATGAGCACTTCAGCACAAATGACTAGCTCCTTGTGCAGCTTCTCCATCTCCCAGTCTGAGCTCTGTTGTACAGGAGCTGTGTGGGGCTGGTGAAAGCAGGTCAAATAAAGCCAGTTAGCTGCTTGTATTTACAGTAATAAATGTATTAATACGTTATTAAATATAGAACTGCATTAAAGTAATTCTAAAGACTGAAATATTTTTACCTTAATGCATTTCCTGCATTAGGGTAAAAACCTTTCTGAAAGCAGCTTCCCCCAGCCCCCCTTATATCCTCCTGAGCCTGATCTCGATCTAGCGCTGTGCCTAAGAGCAGCAGCTCTGTCGGCTCTCTCCATCCTCAAAGGCTCAGAGACAGCAGCATGAGCCACTGGCTTCTGCTTCTGTCAGTCACAACCAGTGAGGAGGGAGTGGGGCCAAACCATGCTGTTTGTGTCTATGGACACACAGAGCCAGCTCAGGAGTGAGCCCGCACAAGTGCCCCCATAGCATGCTGCATTCTATAGTGGTCAATCAGTGGGGGGAAGCCAGGACCATCGGCAGGGAACCCAAGAAGAGGAGGATCAGGCTGATCTGTGCAAAACCAATGTACACAGCAGATAATTATACCACATGTTTGTTATTTAAAGAAAAAAAATATGGGTTTACACTTTAATGTGTGTCTTTTATGGAGCTCAACTTTTTTCTTAAAAAAAACTATTTTTGCAGACGTATCCTACCTACAGCGAGGAGAAGTCACGATGTGAATACCTGCATGATAGATTATCTCATATAAAACACCAGATTCTGGAATATGAAAAAAATACACCGACCTAGCCTGCGTGACCAGGAGAAGAGACAATCCACTCCGTATAGACCTCAGCAACCTGCGAACACTCCACGAGTTACCCACAAGCCTTGAAGGAAAACCACGTTTTCGACAACTGTGAAAAAAAAGTGCCATCAAAATATTGTGTGATACGTATACAATGTAAAGGAAATGCCTTCATCGGGATCATTCCAAAAGCATCAATTACTGCCTTACAAAGGACGATTACACGGGTTATACTCTGTAAAGAAAATATGAAAAACTTTTTATATGTAGAGCTCCAATGCTGGATACATGATCTGAGTAATCATGTATGGCAGGCGGCGCTCAGAACACGGGACGCCCTACGGTACTGTGAACTTGTGGGCAACGGTAGAACAGAATAAACATTGTGATTGTGTAGCTAAAGAATGGATTTCAAATTAAAGCCAGTAAATGCTTTGTAAAGAATCGTGGTATGTACATTTGGTACATATGGGCTGAGACCCATCTCAAATTAGTTAGGCATTTCGTGTCCCTTGTCTAACCAGCTGTGAACCCGTCCAATATTGGATTGTGGCTCATTTGTGCCGTTTACAACCTTGTTATTGGACAAGCCTTTATATTTTCTGTTTTTAGATGGAAACAATCACCTGTTACAACTGAAGTTGCATTTTTTGCAAAGTCAATGTTTATTGAACCAACATGAGCTATCCAATAAAATGTTTGATCTTAATTGAGGTTCCATGTGACTCTGGGTCCTTAAATAGAACTAAAGGCAGAACTTTTTTTTTTTTGTTCTGGATAAAGGAAAAGAGGGTTCTAGGAGGGTGCAGTCTGTATTCTCCACTGCGGGTGGTACTGGACTCCAGCGGGGAGTGAAGGAATACTGGATTTCTCTATCACTTCCTTGGCCACGTGGGACAGTGATCCGGTTGGATGTTCTGGTTCCATGTGACCCTGATGGCCATCTTGGGTTAGGCAGAGTCTATTTAAAGCAGAATCACGCCCCCCCCCCCCCCTAAAAAAAAATACTGTAGCTGCTGACTTTTATCATTAGAGCACTCACCTGTCTAGGGGTCCAGCAGTGTCCTCACTCTGAGCCAATTCTTTAATCAGCTGTTGGGTGCTGGCGCTGCCATCTTGACTAAGGGAAAGCGGCGGCAAAGCCCTGAGGCTTCACCTCCGGTCTCTTACTGCGCACGAGCGAAGCATGCTTTGTTAATGGGCCGCAGTCCTCTGGGACCTTGGAATTGTCCCAGAGGGCAGCGGGGATGGGGGAGGAACCTCCAGCTCAGTTTGCTGCAGCGAACTACGCCAGAAATGGGAGCAGGTAGCTGTCAATACCAGGTACTCATTCCCCCCCAAAAGGTGCCAAATGTGGCATCAGAGGGGGCAGGAAAGTGGAGCTTCCACTTTTGGGTGAGATGAAACTTCACTTCAAGACTCTGACACCGGGTTTTGGCATGCTTTGTGCAAGTGGCTAGAGTAGGGACAGGTTCCCTGTCTGGCAGGGACAGTGCTAGCAATAGGGAAAGGTTCCGGAGGAGCAGGGAAAGAGCAGGGACTATGTGTATCTTCCCAATAAGCTTCCCTTTTGCTTTGGACCGGGCAATGCCGCTCCTTGTGGTAGACACTGTCGGCAACACTGAGTCTACATACCGCTGTTGCTACACTGCATTACTGCGAGTGTTTCTGTTCGGGTGAGCCTCCCCGCTGGGTTTGGTTGTACTGTTGAATTACTTTTACAATACATCATCTTTGACAAATCAGGACTCTGTGTACTTACTGCCCGCTACACCACGCTGTACCCACCCAACACTGTTATAACCCATGTCAATTTTTTTTCCTTTCACTTTCAGTAATAATGGTAAACTGAACTAATAAAGAGGGTGAATCTCTGTAAAGGCTCTTTTATACTTGCAATAGAATGTGGTGCCCTCTGAAGAGCAATCCACATTTGGATGGCTTTTTAGAAGGTATTTGACAGACGGCGGGGAGGCATTAAATAACCTCCTCACTACCTGATTTAACCCTGTAAGGGCTGTTTCAGATGGGAGACCAGGGGGTGTGTGGCTGAGCCACAGTTTTAATACCCCCCTCCCACCAACCTGAACTGTCACAATACAGCTGGACAGAGCTGTACACATGCTGCTGCCACAATGCTTTGCTTCATGGCCGCAGCATTTTTCACTTGGGATACAGTGAGGCCATGCTGCAACCATGTGCAATACATGCAATTGTTATGCAGTTGAACTGTACAGCATTAAAGGGTAAAGCAGCCGGTGTGAGGGCGATAAATAGCCTCCTCACAGCCTGTCACATGCCTTCTGAAAAGTGATCCAAACACGGAAAGAGTGTGAAAGTAATGCCACGCAACCACACTGCAGTTCTCTGCATTGGGTTAAGTATGACAAGCGGTGATTTAAAAATGCTCAAGGCGTGGCATGTGTACAGCCCTGTCCTGTTGTATTGCCACAGTTCAGCTGGGGAACAGCGGTTTAACTGCAGCTCAGCCGCCTGTTTTTACCACTTTCACCCCAAGCTGCCTGTCTGAAAGAGCCCCTATGGGGGAAAAGACAGCAGTAAAGAGTAATAAAGAATATAGTGCCTTATCTTCTTTTTAAAACATTTATTAAATAAAATCGTGCACTCACATGAAATACATGTTAAAATCACTTTAAAACATTGAAAAATTAATCCACAGTGTGCTTTTGAAAAGTGCAGTATACTTGCTGTGTGTTGTCTTTAAGCGTCATGACGTCAGAGCCCATCCCTTACGCGTTACGCCACTGAGTCACATGGCTTCATCAGGGGGAAATTATTTTCAGTTTTAAAAAAGAAGATAAGGCACTATATTCTTTATTACTCTTTATGGCACTTATACCTATGGAGGAAGAGTCCTAAGGAAGTAAGGAGACCCCTAGCTGTGAGGAGGGATAATCTCATTCATCTCCAAGTCCAATTAAAGGGACACAAGCCCCATATGACCTTAATGATTTGGTTATGTCAGGTGAGAGCACAGCCGGTGAAGGTGTACACACAATTTCATGACTGGTGGGTTGCACGCAAAATCATTTCCTATCACATCACTAGAAGGAATGTCAACGTCACGGATGGATTAAGGACATTTATGCAGCAGAAGTGTGATTGCAATATCACATTTAATTTGTTGTTGGACTGTTTTTTTTAATTTAATTTAATTTTATTTCACTTTATTCAATATATATATTTTTTCCACTCTTTATTGTAATTGCCAGTGGAGCGCGACACTGTTTATCATTTTTTGTTCACTATGACACATTGGTATGAGTATGTGTAGAGTGTAGGCGACCCACTCATTTTAATTTCAACTCAATTTTATTTATATTTCTACTGTTTTGATTCATATTTGTGCTAGCATCCATCCAATATTGATTTAATACACTAAAACACTTTTTTACACCATAGTAGCTCACAAGACCCACGATTTAGTATTCCCATTAACATGATGCATGTTAGGCATCATGCTACATGTACAGGGCAAGGATTTCATATCAATGGGCTTCCCTGCACATTTTGTTTTTCACACATTTCTTTTTGCCACATTTGTGGTGCTATCAACAATGAATGACACCACTAGTGGGACATGCCTTTTTTACACGTTGCATGTTTTTGCACACGTCCACACAGTGCTCTGCACACCACTGAACATGGATGGTGTGAACAAGCCCTTAAAGTGTTACTAAACCCCGGACCCTGCATTCACTCTATCTGGTCTACCACAGTACACACAACATGGAAGTGCAATTATTTTAGTAAATATAAACTGCTAAATACCTTTTCTCATCAGCAGTTAGAGCAGTCTTGTGACTTCAGCATAGCACTGGTTAAAGCATGTAGGAGGGGTTTTTTTTCTGCTCTAGGAGTATGTGAAATCCCTGACCTCTGTCTGGACAGTGCTGATTGGCCCTGTGCTGATCACATGCACTCTCCCAAAAAAAAAAAAAAACCTCTCTAGCAATACACACTAAACTGAGCATGTGCAGAAGGGCTACAGGTTCAGTCTTTCTTGTTAGGTTGACATTTGAACAAGAAGAGGGGCAGAGAAGAAAGGATCAAATGGCCTTTTTTACACAATGCAGAGAATCAACCCCTTAGGTTCCTCAGTGAGTATAACAAGCATGCTTTACTGCATTAACAGACTGATTTTACTGTTGTGGGTTTAGTAACACTTTAAAGTTTGAGCTATACATATATATACAAAAAACATATATATTCAACTCCACTCTGCAGCAGTGGTCTGATTCTGGATCTACCCCATGCCGGCTCTGAGATCAAAAAACTGAGCAATCACATGACTGATGATCACTCAGTTCACAGTCTGGTCAGAGCGGAGAGAAGTTACTGCCGGGGGAGTGGAGGATCAAGTAAGTAAAATGGCTTTTTGCAGCCCCCTAGATTTGTCCCTGGATGAATAGAATGTCTGAAGTTTCCTATCTTGATGTAACTGTGACTCTGCAGAATAGCTGCTTCAATGTGAGGTCTGCCACCTATGGTTTTAGCTATAGTTCTCTAATTCCAGTCACTCTATAGACCATGGTTCTGGCTGCACAACTGAACAAATCCAAGGCAAAGCTCTTCCTGTAGAATTCACCACAATCGTGAGTTTGGTCTAGTGTTCCATTTTGAAGTTCCATCCTGCCAGTTTTGAGGTGCTGTTGTATGCTCCTTTCCATAGGGTAATGTTATAGATTTCTTGGGGAGCTCTTCTGGCTCTTCCCAATGCATGCCTTGCTTGACTGCTGCCTTGGATAGCTCTATTATAGTGACGTTGATGTCTGCATATATTGCACCAGCTCCTTCCTACCCTTCACCTTCTTCTTGGGCTGGTGGCTGCTTCCCAGACGGGGGTACACGTTGATTAGAGGGCTTGAGTCGAGCCTCAATAAAGACCTATTTCATGTGTGAGGGACCTGGCTTTGCTGAGAATTTGGTAACTGATTCTTTTTTGACCTGACGCAGGACTCACCCGACTTTCAGTACTCTA